GAGAGAAGTGACCCAATTCAAGAGATGTTTAGCAGTAGAATTTGTAATAATTTTATATGTACACTCAATAGGATTTGGGATCTGATTGAATATGTAGGTTGAATAAGCGGGGTGGCAATTGTGATGTTCAAGGCTTTCACTTAGACAAGGGAGGAGGAAATGCCAACACTGAAAAAGGATAAGAGAATGGGCAAGTGAGGAGGAAAGATTTTCGTGTGGATTTGGACATGTTGACTTGGAGGTCCTTAAGGTCACACGAGTGACAATAGCCAGGAGAATGTTGCTATATGGGTCTTATGCTCAAGAAAGAGTTGCTGGAGTGGAGGAAGAGGCATGAAGTGGAGGAGGAGGGCGAGTCCATGTAGCTCTTTGAATAACCAGGTCTTCAAGTATAATCCAAGATGGGGGCAAGGGAGACACACCGTTACACAGACAAAATCTGCTGTGGCAGGGCTTCTGAAAACCAATGACATCTTTCCTTAACCTTAAAGAGGAATTTTTTCTTCAAGTGTGGTCTCCAGACCACTTGCAAGAAAATCATCTGGGTGATCATTATAATTACAGAAACTGAAGCAAAATCAAACCCTGCATTTCTAACAAGTTCTTCAGGTACTAGTATCTACATTTTGGTGTGAGAGTCACTGGTCTGGGGCTTTTTTAAAGTTTTATTTTACTTAGGGAGACTCAGTCATTCACTCTTGAGAAGTTACTGTGAGGCCTTCCTGAGCCGGTCTCATATAAGACAATGTGGAAGGGGTCAGAGATGAGCAAAGAATTATATTGGGGATGAAAGAAATACTAGTGTTTATTTACCACTTCAGTGTTTCTGTGGTAGGGAGATGGTGGGGAAGGTAAGGATGCCAGTCTGTAATGTTCTGCAGGAACTCGGGGAGTGAAGCCATGCCATAGTGGGAGGGACAGAATGTGACAATGAGAAGCTGCCTAAGTGGGTAACCTTGCCCAGGGAAAGGAAAGGGGCCTGCCAAAGACCAAGGAATCTTCTGTCAGGAAGACACCTTAAATGGTTCATGACAGGTTGCATTTCCACAAATAGCTCAACAGTATTTTTGGTTCTGCATGCTCTTCTAGAACCTTACCACTCTCTTATTAAGAGATAGAATCAATGTTCCCTCCCCTTAAAACTGGGAAGGTCTTGTGGCTATCTTGACTAATAGAAGATACAGTTAAGTGGCAGTTTGTGATGGAACACAACGGCTGTACTATGAGGAAGCCCAGGTCACATGGAAAGTCTATGTGTAGGTGTTCTGACTGACCAAGCCAATGGCCAGCATTAACCTCCAGATATGTGAGTTTCCAGCCCTAGTCACCCTCTGACTGTAACCATAAGCTACCCTGAGAGAGAACCACCTTGCTGAATCTAATCAACCATGAGAATCATGAGAAATAATGCTAATGATGATGATCATAATAACAATGATGAAAATAAATTATTGTTGTTTCATGCTACTAAGTTTGGGGTGGTTTATTACTCAGCAAAAGATACCTGGAACAGGGCTTAGACAAATGTCAAGTTGTAGTTTCTCTTTTCCTTCCCAACTGAAGTGATCATAAAGGAGAATTTTTATGAGTAAATACAATCTTATTTGATGATGAAAATGTTAGCAATTTCACAACCTGTTTCATGTGTCCTCAGTTGAACCTTGGTTATCTCAAGCCTTACTGAGTCAACAGCTTCAAATTCCAGGTTTGAGGTCCCATCCCTGATCTTTGATGAAGTGTAGTGGCATCCTGAGAAAGCAAGATACACAGAAGTATGTGTGGAAGAACTTAGCAAGGGCAGAACTGCAGCCTCAGAGGCTTTCTCTGCTTTAAAGATGAGAGAGGGAGTCAGAAAGCTAGGTCTCTTCTATTTCATCAAGAATTGTCTTTTAGTGCCTTTCCTATTTTTTTTTTTTTTTTGCAGCAAAAGTTTAACTATTTATATTATGTAATAATTTTATGGAAATTGGTGAGAAATTCAGCTGGAATACCTAATTTGTTAATGGACACACACCCACAGGAATACACAAAACAAGAAAAAAAAACCTTCCAAAACTAAGCCAAAGCAAACAAAAACAAAGCCCAAGAACAAATAATTCTCGTGGGAGGAGCTTCCATTGGTAAAAGAAAAGCTCATGGAAACAAAAGTTGAGTCTTCCTCCAAGAACTAAAATATAAAAACCACTGAAATACGAGGAACACCTTAGCAAAAACACACCGAAAGGCGGTATGGAAGTGAAGCTGTTGCTGCTAGCAGTGAAGCATAGAACCACCTTAGAAAACATTTAGGCATTGATATCAAATATCAAAGCCATGTGAATCTCTCCTGGCCTGCTCTTTTGGGCACTGAACCCTAAGGAAACATTCTATCACAAGACAATACTAATATTTAAGAGTCTATTGGGCCTTATCTAACATAGTGATAAAAAGTAGTAAAAAAACATACAACAATAAGGCAAATTAAGTTAACTAAATTACATTTATTCATTGGAAAACTATACAACTATTTAAATGATAATCTTAAGACTATGTAGCAAATATGAGAATGTGTATAATGTAAGTTAAAAGTGAATATAAAACTAACTAGACATTATAACTATGCAAGGACTGCGCATGCATGTGGAAATTTTTTTTTAAAAACTGAACCTTGTAGTAGTAGGATTATAGATCATTTTTTCCATTTAAAAATTCCATTCCTTGATAGAACAATAATTTTATTCAAATAACTAAAATTTCGACTTTGATTATTTAAAATGATAATACCTATTTATATTTTCTGCTTGCTTAATAAGTATGTGTGAAGATAGAGTTAGTTAATTCAGAATATTCTGAAAGTTTAGGAATTAACTAAATTGCTGAATTGGGAACAGTTTTGTGCAGAATCCTGTTTAACTCTGGTACCATACTAGGCACTGGGAGAGGGTATACAGAAGAATAAGGTGGGGAGGTATGGACTGTAACAGAGGTAGACATGATTGATCATGGGGCTGTAGAAGAGATGACTACAGGCTTTAAGTGGAGGATTCTGGGAAGGTTTCAGAGACCACGTGACATTTGCATCGGGCCTTTGTAAGACAGAGATGTGTACCAGGTAAGGCAGGCAATGAGGGACTTCCCTGCAGTGGGAGCATGTGGCAAAGGCTTTATAGGCTGGGAAGGGTATGCTAAGTTTGGGGAGTGGTCGAGTTTGAACATAGTCACTGCACACTGCTTTTGTGTACTCTGTATTTCTCAGTGTACATCTCCTTGAAGAAATACATTTGATTTTCACAATCACCTTGGCAAGAGTCAAGGGAAACTCCTTGCAAGACTGAGAAATATTTCTGTTTTCCTGTGAGACAGTGATTGTTGTAAATTTTTCCTGATAAGTGAAGGTTATCAAAAAATGACCCCTTTGTGTTATTGCATCTGCAGTGAATAAAGACTGGCAGTGTAACTTTATGTGGCTGCCCTATCATGGCAAATCACTGACGAAATTTAAATGCTTGAAAGCAATAGGTTAAGGTAAGTATTGAAGAGTCTGAATACTTAATTATCTCAAGGTTATCTGTCCTTCCCTAAGTAGTTTTTTTTTTTCTCAAGTCTCTAAATTCTTTTTCTTTTTATCTGTCCAGATGGAGGTAGCAGATACAACTTCCTATTCAGCAAAGTTCGGCTATTGATAGCAAATGTCCTTTGAAAGTTAACTGTATCAGCCAAAAAAAAAAAAAAAAGGACAATTTAGTCCTATTAAAAATACCTAGAGACAAAAAAAAATTGAACTTCTGGTTATTGTTGTACACAGAGAAGCATGCTTTAGGTGAAAATCATCAGGACTCTTTTATTGCCTGAGCATTTGAAGACAAAGCATGGGAGAAATGCTATTTAGGATTTTGTTTACAGGTTAAAAATGAAAATGACATCCTACAATTTCATTACTAAGGGTTTAGTTTTTAGACAAAACAATTCTCAAAAATGTTTTCAAACATTTCTTTTTCTAAGATGAAATCTTTTTAAGAATTAGTGTTTTTGAGTATATAGCAAATATGGAACCAGAGTAGACATAAATACAGTGATATATGAGACAGGTTTTCTCCAGGAAGCTTTTCAAAGTCTATGGAACCTATCCTTGAAATGTTTTCAACTGTTGGAATTCCAGGCCCTTTTGGGAATCTATGACAGATATGGATCAGTCTAGCAAAAAAAATGCACATCCACGTATAATTTTGTATACAATTTCTAGAGGGTTCATGGAACATTGACACCCTCGGTGAATACCTGGGGTAGGAGTGTGGGCCTCCATGAGTCCCTTGGTTAAGAATATCTATTATCAAGCCTGGGACATCAAGAAGTTCAGAAGATTCCCCATCTTTAAATGACACTCAGGCTTAGCTCCTCTCCTGCCACCAAATTCTAAATCTAGCTAAGTACCTACTATGAAAGGGTTTCTTAAGATACAAAATTACTCTCCAGCCTCTTCATACATCTAAGCAGAAAAGTGTAATGGGTTTCTTTAGCTGTCATTCTCCTTTCACTGTGGTTTATAGGGATTCTGCATGCTGTTCACCAACCGCCTGTTGAGTTGCTCCATCTGCTGGATGGACCCTGATCTCTGCATCCCATCAGGAGTGGCTGGTGCTGTTGGACGCTGCCAGGTGGTTGTACGGTTAACATGGTCCACATAAAAGACCCGCCCATGGCTGTCAATACGAGCTTCCCAGTCTAGTGTATAAGAAAAAGGCAAAAAGAAAAATCAAGAACAAACTACTGATCCGTGTGAAACAGATACCACCTCCAGGTCTTCTACAGGTAGAACTCACCTTTGGTTATTTGCTGAAGGTCAAACCCTGCTCACAAAATCTGCCACGACTTCTGAGGCATTGGCATTGAATTGACATTTCGGAAAAGAGCCTACTGGACTCAGATTCTCTGCTGGGCTATTCTAAACAGTAACTGTAGTTATTTAAATATGACCTATGTTAAATTGTAATAATTTCTAAATGGAATGTCTAATATTTATTTTATTTCTTTCTTTAAAAATTTCCATCCTGTCAATCTTGTTGGCTATTTAAATGACAGCTAGAAATGTCTTTCAGTGAGACCTGACACTGAGATGCTGGAGAATTTTTTCTTCGCTAAATCTGATAGAAGGTAGCTAGTCGGGGGAGGAAGTAATGGCCCTCATATTAAAGCCAGTTTTAACTACAATTCTAAAATACCACACATGTAACTTTAGATGATCTCTAATACTTAGTAATTTTAATTGATTGCCATTCGTCTTGAGAGAAAGAATACCTAAGGTAATGCTACACACTTTAATGTATCAAGTGACTTTGCAAAGTTGTATTTTGTAAATTCACAGTGTATAGTTAATCCATTTGTGGCTGCCAAATAGCTCTTGACAAAAACAAAACAAAACCAATAACAACTATTGACAAACATCAAACTTTTAAATACCTCTGTTGATAAACAACATCTCAACAGTAGAAGGACCTGAAGACAAAAATAAGTTCCTTCACTTTTCAAATTTAAATAACAATCCAAAAGGTAGAATAACAGATATACACAACATAATACATGTATGGGGCTGAGATGGAGAAGGATGGATGAAAAAAATCCTCAAAACTGAGAGAGCTGGCTGTTAATATGTACATATCTGAGCTTAACATGGAAAAGCAATGTTTGCTGTATAGAAATGGACAAAGCTTTTAGAGTCTACATATAAAAATGTGATGGAAATAACAACTTCATAATAAAATTATGCTGAAAAATGAATTAAGCCGAAGAAGAAAAAGCCAAAATGACTGCAAATGAAGGAAAACAATTCAGCCTTTTAAATGAGAAAAAAAACATAGCTTTTTGGGAATAGATCAGATATTAACAATTCTATTGTAAAAATTACAATTCAGGTAATGCAACAGCAACTCTCAATTTTTTTTAATGAAAAACAATATATTTAGTATTTTTTGAAGTTTTAGGTATACGTTTTATTTGTGAATATTATGACTTATGTCTGACATTTACCTGAGGAATTGCCAAATAATGCCCAAAGAAAACCAAAATATGAGAAAACACCAAATTTAACTTATAAGACAAATTGAAAGGAAAATCTAGTCAGATTATATAAATATATTCTAGGATCTTTTGATTAAAATTAAAATTCTAGATAATCCAGCCATCAACTGTTAGTTGTAAATGTTAATAAGCTTGTTGATTAAATTGTATATATGTGTAACTACTTGGTAATTAATCTTGATCTACAAAATTTGAAATTTTGGTGATTCCCAAAATCAGACATTTTTTTTCCTTGAAACCAACATGAGTTATCCAACAAAGAATGAGCTTTAATCCTTGAAGAGCATGGTGTTAATCGATTCAATTGAACAAAATCCTCTTATCACTCACTATGAACTAGAAACTATGGCAGGTCTTGAGGGCACATCGCTGAGTAACACATGTGCCTGCCCTCCAGATACTCACAGTAAAGGAAGGATTCCTTCAAAGACAAGACACCAGTCTCATAAATTATTTAAAAAAAAAAAAAAAAACCTAGAGAATTGTGTGGCAATAATAATAATTTCTCTCTGTAAGTTTCAATACTTCTAAATCATTAATGGAATAGAATGAAAGCCAGACAGGCCCTTTTGTCAACATATTAAATATCTGGAATACATAGTGCTAATTATATATTCATAAATATTTTGAAAATAATAGCTAAGTAGAATTTAAGATCTACTTAAAGATAAACATGTTTTCTTGCTTGCTTTGTTAAAAATTAACTTTCACATATTTTATAAACTATATTGTATACATAAAAAAAATTTGAATAGAACTTCAGGCCTCAGTATGTCCTGATGGATGACCCTGTAATGTCTACAAAGACTCCTGAAAATGATACCTTTACAATGTTGAGGCAAATTAGAGTAATTCATCTGGGTCAATTTATCTGTGATTGAAGGACCTATCACATACTAAATTATATATTTTTCCATGAAGTCTAAGGACAAAGAGCCTAATAACGTGTCATCTTCAGTTATTTTACTAACAAAAGTAAAAATGTACTTTTTTTACTTTAATAACTTCAATATCTTGTTTATAGTCTGTACCTCTCTGTTGAACTTCAGTCACACCTCTAATTGCCTTCTTGATATCAGTATCTGGATGATGTCTCAAAATAACAAAATCAAAACAAAGCTTCAGAGCTTTCTCGCCAAAACATTCTCTATCTGCAACTTTCCCTTCTCAACTCAATTAAAGACAACGCCATCATTCTAGGTAAAAAAATCTTGAAGTCATTCTTGACTCCTATCTTTCTCTCACACGTTACATCCAAGCTGTCAACAAATCTACCTAAAACATAAATGTCCATAATCTGACCACTCCTCACCACCTACATGGCTCCCTTACTGGCCCAAGCCACCATTGTTTATCACCTGAGTCACTGTAATAACCTTATGTTGGGTTTCATGTTTCTATCCTTCCTCTTCTTAATTCAATGCCAAAACAGTAACCACGGAAAACATTTTAAAATATAAGTCAGACAGCATTACTTCTCTGTTCAAAACCCTACAATGTCCCCCTTTTATCTAGAGTAAAAGCCAAAGACTTTAAGTGGTCTACAAGGCCTTATGTGATTTGAGTCCTGATATCTCCCTATCTCATCATCTGCTCCAGACGCACTGTCTCCCTGCTCTTCTTCAAACCCATTAGGCAGGCTGTTCTTTTTGTTCAGAAAGCTCTTCCCCAATAATTGAGTGATGATTCTCTTACCTTCACCAAGTGTAGCATCAAATGTTGCCTTTTCAGTAAAGTTTACCTGACCACCTATTTTAAATGGCAAACCAGCTACCACCACAAACTCTAGATGCTTTTACCCTGCTCTGTATTTGTTTTTTGATAGCACTTATCACCATCTAACATGCAATATATTTTCTTAACTTTTCTTTTTCTTTTTTATTATCTATCTGTGCCAGACTAGACCATAAACTCTACAGGGCAGGGATCTTTGTATTGCTTACCTTGCACAGAGTAAGCATTCAATGAATATTTGTTGAATGGATGATTATCAGCAATGAAATCATCTACGTACTATTTGATTAAGAAAATTTAGTTGTTAGGCTTCACTAACAACTTTTATAATACTTTTCAGTGTCACGTGGACAAAAAATAGAAACCTAACTGGGGAAATTTGTTTTCATTATTTAAAGCAGTTTATATAAAGTAATTATTTAAATTAGAGTTATATTAAATTATTTATGATATCTATATGTGTAACCAGTTATTATCTAGCATGGATTAGAAGTCAATTTGGTAATAGGCTATTTTTTTGTGGGGAAAGTGTTCCTTTCCTGGAGAAAACATGTTATAGATATTTTTCAGATAAGTGTTAATTAGGAAGTATCTATAGTGGCACTTAAATTTTACTATTCATTTATGGGTAGTAAATGAATATCCATATATCAATTAATCATTCAGTAAATAAAACAAGTGTCAAAAGTTAAAGGACATAATGTTTGGCTTGGCCCACCTCCCAAAATATAGTGCTCTTTTAAATATCTACAAATTAAAAGTACTCATATTTTCTCACTGATAAATTACAATTGAGTAGGAGAAAAATGATGTGAATGCAAAATATATTACATTACCAAGAATAGATGAATTAAAGAATAATTATTTCTCCTTTTGAAAACTGTTACCACTTAATGTAAGCACAGGCAAAAGTATGTAAAGAAACATTGATTCCTAGCATCCTAGAAAGAATTTGCAGTTGTAGAATTTTTCAAAGCTTAAAGATTGTCTTTGCTTGAAAAACAAGCCTAAACCAAAACAGAGATGAAGAACTCGTGAACATACGTGATGCTAAGTGGTGTCAGTTCCTTCTTACAAATTTATTATAATGGAATAGTATAAGGTTAAAGCTAGAAGGATATCTAGAAGCTACCTAGTCCAAATCTAACATTTACAAAATGAGGAAATTAAAGCTTTACTTCACAAATTAGATAACTGAGTCACTGAGAAAGTAAATGATTTTCCCAAGTTCAAATGACTAGTTGGATAAATATTAATTACATTCTATAGTTACCAAGAGAAAATGATATTGAATTCTATCCCTAAAGATGATATTTTGTCTGGAAACCACTAAGAACTACAGAGGAAGTTTGAGGCTGTCACCTACTGATGCAAGTTAGAGTAAAAAAAAATGCAAGTTCATGGATCCTGATGGATTGAAATATTTTATTATATGGAGATGCTTATGACATAACAATCCAATGGAAAAGAATAAGATTATTTTGTCTTGAACCACAAACTTTTAAATATAAATTGTTAAAATTTAGTACTTAAGTGTTATGTATAGATTGCAAGGACTAGTCAAGTCTTATAAAAAATGCTCTTCATTTCAGAAATTGAGGGATGCTGAAAATACTGGACTGTCTCTTCAAGATCACATGTTGAAACCATTAGTTAAAAGACAAACAATTTTTATAGTAGGCACCATATTGGTTTTTGATAACAGTGTAAAGTATAAAGTTGGGGAAGAGTTTGGATGTTTACATACAAGTTCATATTGACCTGTTTAGACTTAATAGGAATAAGTAAGACATAGAGTTTAAAAACTAAAGCTTACTTGGTGGAAGAGGCTCATCGATTGTTGGGTAGTGATGATGCTCAGGCCTCAAGGAAGGAAGTTGGCTTACTGGCTGGGAATTATGGAGTATAGGACTTTCACCTATGAACAAGATAGTCAAGACATTCAAGTTTACTCATTGCTGTGGCAATGTCATCAAAAAAGCAAGACTGTAAAACAAACTACTAAAGAAACAAAACCCAAGGAGTGGGTAATCTATTTTTGTGTCTGTTCACTACATTCACAGTCATTCATGAGAGAGGGTTATAGAGGGAATTGCTTTTTTAAAACCCAAAAGAAAATAGCTGAATACTTCATGACTATGATCTATGCCACATAGACCAACATGTAGGATCAGGGTCTGATGTGAATCTTCTTGGTGAAAAGGTGGCCTCAGTAAAGGACACAAAAGAAAATTAGCAGAGCTTGACTTTAGCTCAGCAAAAGAAATAGGCCATGTTTGAGGGAAGTGCAGCATTTCTACAGTTCCATAAAAGCTCAGTGGGCCCATGCAAAATGATTGCTCCTTGCTTGAATAAGTTTCACCAGAGGGCTACCAAGAAATGTTTTTCAGATTTTGATTTTGGAATGAAACTCTTAGATGGTGACTTTCTAAGATGGGGTTAAGAAACTGGTGGCCCAAGAAGGTAAATTCCCATAGTATGGAAGCTAGGGGTTGGAGTGAGGGGCCAAAGAGCTATGGGATTTTGTGATTGTTCCAGGTTATTTTGAGGAAGAATCAGACAAGACAGGGTGCTCTGGAAAGAGAAATGGACAAAAGACGAAGGAAGTAAATAAGAGGCAGGAAGACTGAGACAGAAAAACTTGAAACTCAGAAGTGGTATAGAAGGAGAAAGATGAACATGGAGAAATTTTGGAAATAAACATATTCACAGAATGCCTTTCTCTGTTGTTATGAATATAGCTAATATTATTGTCACTCAAACTTATAATAAACTGAACAATGTTCTAAAATGGTGTCCCTATTTCATGATGTCCTTAGGTCATGGTAACAAAAGGTGTAGAGTGGCCATGTGGTTGGGAGGCTTACAGCACCAGCAATTGCAGAGGCAATTACTCTTGGTCTTTGGATAGGTAGAGAGACACAGGTCACGAGATAGACCCCATTCAGACTGGTGTCCCACTTCCCACTGCCTCACGTATCCTGATCTTGGCTTTCTTGCAATAGCCCTTATTGGCCAGAAGACAAAGATCAGGACTTCTCCTTCTTCTGCCCTTCATGGATGATGCAAATATCAAGTGTTCCATTATCCCTTGGATCAAAAAGGAGAGAAATTGTGAAAAACAGTTGTTAAGATCTTTGTGGGATCTCAAATATTTCCCAGAGTGTCCATGCATGAAAAAGATGATTATTTCTTCTCACTCTAGATCCATAAAACTGATAAAAAAATTAAAATTAATTAATTAGGAAAGAAGTTAGATGGATTTAATCTAGCAGTTTAATTGCCAGAGCTAACTGGAAAACAGAAACAGACGGGCGTTAAGGAAGGCGTCCTTTTAAACGTTAAATATATTACATGATTTCTTGTGCAAAATCTGGTATGTTACTCAAATCTTTAGGGTCCTCTGAGACTGTAAGGAAAGTCAAGGAAGGTGACCCTCATGTCAGTGCACAGCTCCTTGTGAACTGACTCTTGTTTCAAAAATGGGCTCTGTTTTTAGTGGATACCACACTTATGTCTGTCTTTATACGTGGTTAGTGTCAGAAACTAAAAAACAATGGTACAGCTGTTATGTCACCAGCTGCTGTGTTTTCAGTTTAGTTTAGTTGATAAAAAAATCAACAAACTTACCTCTCGTAATTAGTTCAAGCGATCAGGTTAATTACACCTATAAGCTAGTGGAAATATTGTCACTTGCTGTAGTTAATGGAGCAGATTTCATCTGCTTATGAACCCCAAGCAAATGCAATGATGTAACTGATGCAGGTCAGCCAAGTGAAAAGTTGGAGCACACAGAAGAAACAAGCGATTTTGTTCTGTAGAAGGCCATAGATCCACACAATCACCCTTGCCTCAATCACAAAGCAAGTGTTCAGACCTCAGAACTTCTAAGAGGGAGACATATTCCACTTGAAAAGTTAGTCTCACTGCTTATCTGCCTGGAAGAACCCTCACTCAAGGAGTGGCCAAGGGTTTTACATGTATCACCCCAGTCAGTCCTTCCAATAACCTTTAGAGGTAGATTTTAGATTTACATCCATTTTACACATAAGCATGAAGCATTTATATAACTGGCTAAGGTATCATGACTAGGAAGTGGTGGGAGCAAATATAATAAACCCAAGAGGCCTGACTCTATGACTTGAGTTCATGATCACAATATTATATTTCTCCTTTATTTGATCTGCACAAAGTTTTTAAAAACTATTTTATACTGAGGTTAAAAATAGTTTTAAAACTATTTTGTAGAAGAAAAGAAGCAAAAATTAGATAAAGAATACCTCCTCCATAAACTACTATGGACTCATCTATCTGCGCATGTCTACAGTCAGTCTACCTTGGCTATGGCAGTGAGAGAATTTGAAATCTTAGAAGTCATGACAAGAGGCAATTGTGATTCTAATGGGAGAAGAGGGCTCACATATATATATCAGGTAGGTTGTGTTGAAGTCCTGCTTTCTTTGAGCATGGGCCAGTGAGGGACAGAGACACTGTTAGCTCACGACTTACTACTGAGGGAGGGAAGATTGGCTGAGAAGTCAAGTGGCAATGTGTGTGCAGCCTTCACGAGATCAACAGTCCCTCTCAGGAATCTTCCCATTGCCCCTGGTGACCACTGTAGGGAAGTGTGCAGGTATTTCTTAACCTTTCCTGAGTTTACAGTCTTCAGAATTCAGAAATTTAGAAATTTCTTTAGAAGTTGCCCTGCAAACACTTCCACTATGGTTCTGAAATACCTTCCTATCTTTTTGTTAGGGCAGCTTCCTCTGCTGGACAAGGGCATGCCATTTCCATTTTTTTTTTTTTTTTTGCCTTTGCAAACCTGTTTTTTAATAAATGTACACTGAATTATTTTTTTAATTAATAATACATGAATTGTCTTCAAGCATGGTGGTCAAAATCTACCCCACAGGCTAAAATGGTTGACAAACTATGAACCCAGCTTTATTTTTGTATGGCTCTGAGTTAAGAATTGTTATTACAATTTTAAATGTAAAATTGTTAGAAAAATAAGCTTTTGGTGAGAACATTTGCCTACCTTTGCCCCTTAACTCACAAAACCTAAAATATTTACTATCTGGCCCTATACAGAAAAAGATTGCTGACCTCTGGTCTAAAACATCCCTAGATAGCTCCTAGTTATACCCTTTTATGTGTGTAACCCCAAATCTCCTTATACTGTAATTATTTTTGTGTTATAATTAATGAATACCTCCCATATGTTATCTGATGTCTATCTATCTTCTAGCATATAGCATTGGGCCCAGAACAAAGAGACTCAAAATATCCTTGTTAATTAAAGAAATTGTCCATCTCATTTTCGTTTTCATGGGTGCCTTTCCATATTGTATGCTACTATGATGTATTATATGTCACTATAGTTAATTGCATATCACTATGGTTTTCCTCCCTGTTTTTCTTTCTTTACCAATTTTCTTTCACTTATCCTTATCACATGTGCCACTCATCTTTTCCCTGAAATGTAGAATAGAACTTTGTTCGATGCTTAAAATTATTTTTTGTGTGCTCACTTTATTTCCTGTAAAAATGTGTAGGTGCCAGGCATTTGTTGAAAGGCTGAGAATTCAAACATAAAAAAGATACAATTCTGGCCCTTCATGAGTTTACAATGTAGTGACAATACTACCACATTTTGTTTGAAGGCTAATTTAAACAGCAGAATAGAAAAATAGCAGAATCTACATTTTTCTCTCTTAAAACAACTGAATTATTTCATATTGTTATGTGACTTGAACTATTTCCTCCTATGTCGCTGTCATTTGATTGGAAAATGGTTCCCAATTCTGGATAAGAAAATTAATTTTATATATGATTCCAAAGGCATGACGACAAAGGACCATCTTTAGTTAAAATACAGAATACATTTTAAAACTAAAGGTGGTAGCTTTTGAATTAGAATATTACTTGAAACAAAGCTATTTATGCATTCAGGTTATTCTTCTCTTCTATTAGAGAAAATAGACCAAAAAAAAAAAAAAAATCGAAATACCACCACCAACAAAACCAACAACAATAACAAGAACTGAACAGACAGAAATAATGAAAAATATGTGTAGGCTATCCTTATCCATATCTACGTAGACAGGCTAATTAAAGTCTAAAACAGAGGTAAAATGTTCTTCAACTTACATAAAAATTTATTGCTAACCTTTAGTAAGTTTTGGGAAGTCAGCAGATATGTAAACACTATCCACCTAATAATGATGTTTATTTCTGCTTATATCAACCATATGATACTAACTCTGATGCTCTAATCGGAGCCAAGATAGGAAGGGTAACATGTACACTAACCATTTCTGGTGCTTTGTTAAACAGAGAAGCACACATACAAGTGCATGCTCACATGTGTGAACTAGCTGTAATTCTTGGTGTATATCTAAGAGGTGGTGGGGTTTCAGCTATTCATAATCACGAAAACTTACACACACAAATATATATAGGACAGGCATGCACATTGCAGCAGTATACCATTTGGGAACTGATCCTCTTAACCCTTGTTTTTAAACCATTTTGGTAAGACCTGTGTCTCTCTGGTGGTCCTATTTTCATTCTGATCAGCTTTGAGGTCTAACCTTCTCTCCGATTGCTTGGCCCTGCCATGGGGAACTCCAGACGGTCAGTGGCTCTTGCCATGCTCCCAGCAGGGGTTGCTGGCTGGTCTTGCCATGGCCCAGGTCCATTTAGAGATTCTGGGTCCAGCTCCGGGCTCTGCACGGAGTCGGGCACCGACTCGAACGCGCTGTTCTCCTCCTCATCATCATCTTGCGAGGAGAAGACGGTGCTCTCGGAGATCTTGGCACTGTCCACGGAGGAGAAACGAGTATGACTGGCGAACCTGCTACTATTGTAGCAGGAGGGGCTGTAGCAAGAGGCGCTATAGCAAGAGCTGCTGTAGCAAGATGTGCTGTAGCACGAGGAGCTGTAGCAGGAGGGGCTACAACAGGACATGTCACAGCCTTCACAGTTGTGGTCCCCGCCTTGCCTGGGGCTGGAGTCGCTCTCACTCCCGGTGCTTGGGAGCAGGTCACCATCAGGGACCGGGCTGTTGGCTAAACCGGAGTGGGTAGGGGGCACCATACTAGGAGTAGCCCCCTCCGGGTCCTCTCTACCCTCTTCCAGGGCAGGTGGCTCAGCAGCTACCGTGTCTACCTCACTGAGCCCATCCTTCTCAGAGGTGTTCTTGAAGGTGGACTCTTCCTCAGCACTGTTATTGTCTGTGGCGCTGCTGCCCTGAGCCGAGGGCATACTGTGCAGGAGGGTGTGGATGCGAATGTAGTGTGTCCGTGGGGTCTCTGGGTTGCCGCAGGAGGATGCAATCACGGTCTCCAGCTCCGACACAGGCAAAGAGCACGGCCTGCTCTTTCTCTTCACTGAGGCGCGCAGCTGCAGGCTGTCCTCCAGCTGCCCAAGGGTAGACACATCCTGCTCCTCTTCCTGCTCCTCCTCCTTCTCTTCCTCCTCCTCCTCCTCCTCCTCCAACACTTGTCTCTTTTCCTCCTCCTGCCCCCTAGCCAAGCTCTCTGTTAACACTTCCTCTGCCACAGGATCCCCATTGCTGCCTGGAGTTTCATTGTCCTCCAGCAGCCCTGGTGGAGGTAACTCCCTTCCCAGGTCCAGCCCCTTGGCTAGCTCTTCCTCACTCAGGATGTCTTCTTGCCCCAGGCCCGAGGTCTCTCCAGCCTTGTCAGGTCCCATAGAGACTGTGTGGTCGCCTCCTGCCTCAATGGTACCTGCCTCTTCCTCTACCAGTTTGGCAAGCTCCAGACTCTCCTTCTGGACAGTGTCCACAGCACTGCCCTCCCTTGGCTGCTCTGGCTTCAAGCTCCCGAGGGACTCTGGTACATAGTGAAGAGGCTCCCCATGGCTGCTTGCCACCAGGTTGTTCATGGGACTGTCCTGAATTTCTGCTGACTCAGCTTCCATACTCAGGGAAATCTCTTCATCATCTGCAAATATAGAGGAAAACTCCATGTCATTTCTTCTATAAGACCTCATTTAGTGTTAGTGTACTCTGTGGGACATGGACATGTAAGCCATCCTAAGGAATTTTTGTTAGGATATTGGATGTAAGGGTTGATGAGGGCTTCTCATTGGCCAGTACTCAGCTGAAAAATTCTATAAGAATGTGTTCATCTAGAACAGCTAATCCTAAAATTTATATGGAACCACAAAAGACTTCAATAGCCAAAGCAATCTTGAGAAAACTAAGTAGAGATATCATACTCTCTGACTTCAAATTATACTACAAAGGTACAAAAATCAAAACAGTATGGTAATGGCACAAAAATAGACATATAGATCAATGGAATAGACTAGAATGCCCAGAAACAAATTTTCACTTATATGATTAATTAATCTATGACGACAGAGGCAGGAATATACAATGGGGTAAAGACTGTCTCTTCAATAAGTGGTGCTGGGAAAACTAGACAAATACATGCACAAAAATGAAACTGGACCACCTTTTTATATACAAAAATAAACTCAACATTTTTTAGAGTTTAAATTTCTTTTTTAAAGACTTAAATGTAAGACCTGAAACCATGTAACTCCTAGAAGAACACCTAGACAGTAAACTCTTTGACATTTGCCTTTCCAATACCTTTTTGGGTATGTTTTCTTGGGAAAGTTCAACAAAAGCAAAAATAGGCAAAAGGGGCTACATCAAACTAAAAAGTTTTTTCACAATAAAGGAAACCATCATCAAAACGAAAAAGACAAGCTACAGAACAGGAGAAAATTTTTGTAAATGATATATGTGATAAGGGGTTAATATCTAAACTATATAAACTACTTATACAACCTAACATAAAAAATCAAGCAATCTAATTAAAAAATGGGCAGAGGACCTGAATAGACATTTCTCCAAAGAGTACAGGTGGCCACAGACATATAAAAAGATGCTTAACATTGCTAATCATCAGGGAAATGCAAATCAAAACCACGATAAGATAGCATCTCACACCTGTCAGAATGGTTATCTTCAGAAAAAAACAAGAAATGACAGTGCTGGCAAGGATGTGAAGAAAAGGGAACCCTCAAGCACTGTTAGTGAGATTGTAAATTGGTATAACTACTATGGAAAAAAGTATGGAGATTTCTCAAAAAATTAAAAATGGGACTGCTATATGACCCAGCAATACCACTTCTGGGTATTTATCTGAAGAAAACAAAAATGCTGTGTTCAGCAAGTGGTAAATCCTGCCACATCCAGCACAGTCCTGGAAAATAATCCTGAGTGGGAATGGTGGGAGATTGAGAAAGAAAGAAGACAGAAAGCTGGGGTCGGGAGGCCCAAATATCCACTGATGATGGAATAGAGAGTGATTTTATTTTTGCAAGTTGCTTTTATACAAGAGCATACATTTGCTGGCTAAAATAAGATTATCCCCACCCAACCTACACATTCTACTATAATCATTTGCATTTTCGTAGATTATCCCCACCCTACACACCCTGCTATAATTATTTGCATTTCAACACCACATTGTTCATTGTTCTCTGATCAGTTCCTCCTTCTCCATTCTTAGGAGGATTCGTGGAGGTGAGGCAACCCTTGGTTGGTCTCATAGACTGCAAGGAACTTGTCAGCTTACAACCTGCTCTCCACACAAAAACACTAATTCAAAAAGATATATGCACCCGTATATTCATTGCAGCATTATATAATAGATAAGATATGAAAGCTATCCAGATGTCCATTGGTAGATGAATGAATAAAGAAGATGTGGTATATATACACAATAGAGTATTACTCAACAATAAAAAAAAAAATGAAATCTTCTCCAATGAAAATGAAATCCAACATGACTGGGCCTAGAGGGTATTATGTTAAATGAAATAAGTCAGAGAAAGACAAAACCATATGATTTTATTATATGTAGAATCTAGCCAAACAAAACAAATAAGACAAAAAAGAAAAATATCAATAGATATACAAAACAAGTTGGTAGTTGTCAAAGGGGAGGGAATAGGAGGATGGGGATAGGTGAAAGGATTGAAAAAAAAAAGGCTAGTCTCCCTCCCAAGTGCTTGATCCTATTCCCCTTATTGTGAACATATGATTTATTGTCTGAACAGGGACATGATTGAGAGTAAAAGGGGGCATTAATAGTAAAGTCAGGACAACAGGCAAAAATAGGACTGTCCTGCAAAAACTTAGGACAAAAAAAGAATAAGTTCTTATTGTGTTAATGACAATTTGCAGTCATAATATATTTCTGAATTCTGTTTCAAGGGAATTCAATTTTTGGTTAAAATTCCACTCAATAATCTCCAAATCTTAATGCTACCCTAGTTCTAGGCACATAGTAGGTACTCAACAATGTGTCCTACTTGGAAGACTTCAGAGATGGGGGAGGGCTGTTTACAAGTTCCTTGCTGATCTCAGGCAAAGTTAATTATACTTTTCAGCATATTTTGTATGACTGGGTCCCCTAGAATGGCAGAATGGGTAAGTTGGGTTCTTAGGCAACTAGGGAGTAGAAAAGAGCTAGATAATGGAAGAAACCAGTCATTCAGACTAAAAGCCTTCCAAGATTTGGAGATTATTGAGTGGAAGATTAACCAAGTCTCCACACCAAGCAACTATTCAAGGAGTTGCAGCTACAGTTTACCTCTATCTCCCCCAGATGTGAACTTCCCATTTCAAACACACTAGCACAATAAGGCTGTCCTTACTGATATAACTGAAGGAAGAGTCAGTTTTATTCTCAGAATACAGAAAGGTTAAAATTGAAAGATAAAAACAGTCAGGTGTTTTCTTACAATCTGCATCGTATATTGGGCATAGAAAAGTGAAACTAGAGCTTAATGAGTGAGCAGTGATAAACTTCAGACACTGAGTTCTCAAAGGCATCATTAGCTTTAACAGCAACTCATAAGTGACCTAGGAGAACCAAACAATTTTCAGCATGATCTATACTTAGTGTGAAGGTTGTAAGAGAAGAGCAAAGTGTTATTAGAGGCCTCTCATCATTCTTATTTGGAAATATGTTTTGCCATGAAAAACTGAATGCTGTTTGATTGAAGTTTTCTGTTCAATTTATAGTTTTAATTTTTTCTTGTGGTATTGTAAAAATTTCATTGTGCATAGTTCTTTAACAACATGACATGTACCAAATTTATTCATGTTCACATTTCTTCATTCATTCATTTATATATGCAATGATTAAACATCTATTGAGCACTTCTGATGTGGGTGCTGGAAATAAAATAATAAATTAGATATCACTCTATGCCCACGTTGGCCTTGTTGTCAATCCCCACTTCACTGTCTAACCCTCTACCTTCTGGTCACCACAATGAAAAGGACCCTCTCTATCAAGGGGACAGGAACCTGGCTTCCAGATGAGATCACTGACTGCTAGGTCTCAAATGGAAAAGATGGAGAATCATAAAACCTAGGAAATGTCTGGACAGAACCATGGTTATTATGTTTAAGAGAAAGATATCATGCCATGACATGAAGCTAGGATAAATTCATGCTGAAAATACCTGGGTGGATGGAGGAAGTGATCTCAAATCGGAATTGCAGCTGTCCACTAACATGATCTGTTGGAAGCCTGCGTCCAAGTGTGTAGCTGACCACTCTATCCCTAGAAGAAAATAAGCACCATCACGGATCTGGTCAATACCTCTTCTTTTAAAGACCATAAAGCAGATGATGCCCAGGGAAGCCCTGCTATTAAAATCTGCTCAGGTACCTATGAGATGGTCCTAAGGTAAAGACAGGAATGTACATCTGATCAATAGCAATGAAGAACTTTAAGAATATTCTTATCAAATATTCTAAAAGGAGTCACCAAAATACAGCCCATGAGTCAAATCTGGCTCACCATCCGTTTTTGTATGGCCATGAGATTTTTACATTTTTAAATAGTTGCAGAAAAAGCAAAAGAAAAGTAATATTTTGTGACATATGAAATTTATATGAAATTCAAATTTCAGTTTCCACCAATGAAAATTTTATTGTAACACAGCTATGCATATTAGTTTACATATTGTCTAGGGCTGCTTTCATGATGCAAATGATAGAGTTGAATAGTTTGGACAAAGACCTTATGACCTACAAAGCCTGAAATATTTACTACTGGACCATTTACAAAGTTTTTCAACCTGTGTTCTAAAGAAAAAAAGACATGGATATCTTTGCTTGCTTTTTCTGTGCATGTTGACATTTTCCAAATATACCCTTAGTAATGGACAGTGCTAGCAACAGATTCATGTCTTGCAGTATATATACATAATGTCTAAGAAAGGATGCTGTCATGGTTACTGGAGACATTGCAGAATGCTTCAGATAGGGACCTGTTGCAGGATGGAGCAGAGCAAGACTTGTGTGCTGGTTTCACTGGCTTGTGACTTCCAATTACACCTACTCCAGGGTCCCACACAGATACCCTGAAACTCTCACCTGGATTCTGGCACCATCCTCTCTGTCCACTCAAGGTAATTTCTTAATTCCTGAGAAGAAAATTATCCAGGGGAATCAACCTGAAACTTTGCTTTTATAGTTTCATCAATATGTAGCTTCAGCAGAATACACTAACCCTTACTTTGGCCTAAACAGAAAGAGTAACTGCCTTGAGATATTCAGGAATTAATAAATCTTGTGTTTCCAGTAATAACAAGGACATATTTCAAAACCAACTGTTACTCAGATGATTCTGTATTAATTCCATTTATTTATTTGTGACATTCAAATAAAAAGATAAATCACTGGTTGATAGTGTTTTAATGTTTCTTTTTTGGAAAATATCAGTGCTATGAAACAAACAACATATATTCCAATGGTCCACTGACTTAGTATTTTTCTTTGGTAAGCCATGGTTTAGTGTTTGAACTTCCTTGGAAGTCCATTAAATAAAGCATTATGTGAAGGAAAAATAGAATGAGCCATACTGTTTATTTATAAAGGGTTTTATATTATGAAGTAGGTCTGCTATGATCATGAAAGATAATCCTGATAGTTGAAATCAGGAGAAGCCTAAAGACAGTCAGACAATGAAACAAAAATTAAATTTATTATGCTTTGCATTTGCTTTATAGACTTTTTTCCTTTGTTTTTCACCACATTATCAACAAATATTTTTTTAGCCTGTGCCATGGAAAAAGTGCTGCAGTTGATACAAAGCATGTAAATGATAGTCCCTGCCTTAAAATAGCTTATATCTGGCTGAGAGTATAAAGCAAGACCACTAAATATGGTTCAAGGTAGCCAGTGGTATTTCTAACATGAAGCTGAGGTGGTTGAGGTTAGAGGACTTCAGAAGAGGCAGGGGCCCAGCTGAGGGCTGAGAAGTTATAGGTGAAGGAATCAAGGGAGCATTGAAAATGAGAGTGCACTTATGACTGGAGAGGAGGGAAGAGGAGCAAATGTCTGAAGGCAGGGAGATGGCGAGTGAAGATGCAGCAAAGGTTTTCAAAGCAATGCATTGAGGGAGAGAGGATATGGGGGTTGTATTTGTGGAAGGAAGAGGGAAGCTGTGGTGTGAAGTGGATTTGCTTTTGTTTTGGATGCACCCTGAGGTTCTGCCATGGCCCAGGCCTGACTGGCCACTGCTTCAGTGGTCATCACCCCAAAGCCTTTTTTCTACATTGGGACACCTCTAGTATGGACAGCATTGCAGAAGTGGTCTCCATGGTCTGTGGAAAGCAGCAGTCCTTGAAGGAAGATTTGCTCACCTCAGACCTCAGGGAGTGATCTATTATTCCATCAGAGGTGGTAAGAGGAAAGCACCTGTGTTGCTTCCTCTTAGATAGCATTTAAGCTCAATTATACTCTAATATGTGTTTCTCCTTTTTCTTATGTGGTAAGAACACTGTGGGAAAATCATAGCTATCCTTGTTCTGGTAGGGGAGGTGTTCTGGCAGGACAATTAGGTAAAGAAAAGAGGCAACAGCTTTGGTATATGAAAAGTGTTCAACATGGAAGAGCTTATGGGTTCTTTCTGTGGTTGTAGTGAGCACAGGGAGGGAAGTTCAGTTCAATAGACACAAACTGAATTTCTAATACACATTAGACAGCAGTGTGCTCAGTACTGGGGTATAAAGAATTCTACCTATACCTTCTTTAAGTCTTCCAGTGCACCCTCTAGCAGAGGTGTTACAGCTATGAAAGAAGACAGTAGGAGAGAGAAGAGAAATGAAAAGTATGGTCAATGATAAACTTGAAAATTGGTCCCAGGAACCTTTCGAGGTGCCTGTTGCAGGGGAGGGCATTTGGACGTTGAAGAGAGACAGACGTGGATTTGAACTCTGGCTGCATTTCCATTACTAATTAGCCTACCTAAATCACAAATAGGTAATTATTTATCTTACTTAAGCATATGAATTCGCATATGGAGGAATGATGATAGTACCTCAGTCCCAGCTCACAAAGAAGACTAAATTAAATAACAATTATCACAAGGAATACCATTCCCTTCTGAGTTCCTACTATGTGCCAGGAGCTGCTTTATATTCTTTATGTACATGTTTTGTTTGTTTATTTGTCTTGTTTAATCCTTATAGCCATGAATAGAAAGGGCAAACACTGTTTGACACATGGCTGTAACTCCATGATGTCAGCTCCCCTTGACTTGAGAGTTAACAGCATGTCTTTGTACATACAGCTGCACATGTGCTATAATGCTCTAATTAAATGTCCTTGTGGTAACCGTTAGTGAATTCAAAGTTCTTCTGAAAAATTAAGACACTTGGAGATTCTGCATCATCTTTCTCATTCCTTTGATATCATTCTAAGAGTCGCATTGTATTGAAGCATATGTTTATGGCCAGAGAGCTATACCTAGTGTTTTCAAATATAGCTGCTATTACCTAAGAAAATACATATTATATGTAAGGTTTTATCTGCTCAAGGTTCACTTTAATGAGAACCATGAATGGACATGAATGTAAAAGATATAAAACACAGAAATATATTTTATATACAACTAAATTATGTGAGCAATATAACTGCTGTCGTTCAATGAGAATTCATGCTTTTAAAATTTCATACATATTATTTAGCATATTCTTATAAATACTAGAGTTTTCTAAGGTACCCTAATAACCCAGCATTTCATCTTGTTATGGAACTGTCACAAATGATTAAATCCTATACACAAGGCAAGCATACAAATGAAATAATATTCTTCATAGTAAAACAAATTTTAATTTCTACCTGTATAAAAAAATTCTCTATTAAAGGCTTCTTTCAACATTGTGTCTTAGAATTTTTATTATCTTGCATCACTAACCAGTGATACACAAACAAGGGGAAAGGAAAAGGTTTGTTTAATTTAATATTGTGGCTCGAGTATCACAATGAGAGAAGCCAAGGAAATTACCACCATCATTTTAGTTTGAGTCTCTTTGAGACTATATTGTTGCAGCTTGAGGGCTCTTTAGCCTGCTGGCTGAAGCCTAATGATACTGAGGTCTCAATCACATGTTTACCCTATAGCGTGTCTTTCCAGGAGTCTCTGAACTGGCATCGAAAGCTTTCCCAAGAAGCGCTTGATGATAGGGCGGCTCTTGGCAAACTTGTCCTTCACCTCAATTTCCAGCACATCAGTGGGCAATGACACAAAGCTGAATTGCTGCAATGAAATAATATGTCACATCAATTAACTGAGAGGTGTGAGGTCTGGCCAATTTCCAGTCTATTTGCCTTGGATGAAGTTATTGTAAAACATCCCAGTAGCAACATATATTATCAAGGTCTTAGAAATTCTGCAAGCCATGTTTATTCCATAAATAAATAATGGCAACAATGAAGTGCTCCTTCAGTGCTTAAAAGTAAGATTATTTTCTAAGACTCAAATAATAAAATCAACTCACCTTAAAAAGAAAGAATGCTACTCAGGCCTCACCATACGTGACTAAACGTATTAACACACTTAAAGTAAGAAAAAGCACAAACTCACATGTAATTAAGAAAATGCACTTTAATTCAACAACTCAAGATATTTTTTTTCATTATTAGAATGACAAAGATTTAAAAAGATTAACAATACCCCACGTTCTTGAGAGTGGGAAAAGACAAGAACTCCCACACTGTATCAATGGGAATGTAAATTCATTTGAACTTTGGGAAGGGAATAGGCAGTATTTATTGTCATTTAAGCTGCAGATCCCCTTTAAAGCAGAATTCTACTTCTAGGAATTTTCCCTCTGAATTAGCTTGCACAAGTGTGCAAAGTATATATTTTATAGGGATGTTTATCAGAGTATTATTAACAACAGCAAAAGACTAGAATAGAGAGGCCAAACATGTTTATCAATAGGAAACCAGCTAAATGAAGAATCTTAAATCTTTGAAACAGAGAACTCTGCTGTAATTAACAAAGGAAATATGCACTGGCATGAAAAGATACTTGACAAACTAAGTGAAAAAGCAAGGCATAGAAGAATATGAAGAGTGAGATTCCATTTGGACTTTGACTGCAGAGAAAATGCCTGGAGGGGTACATTCCAAGCTGAACTTTTAATTTTCATTATAAATTAGTTTTAGTTTACTTTTATACAATTCCTAAGAACCAATCATTCCTGGTACTGACAAAACTGACTTTATGGACATGCTAAGCCTGAGGATCAAATCCTCTAAGAAGACCTGAGTGAGGATCTAGCCCCCATAACCATCTCAGGTCCTCAAAATTTCTATAATTTGGTACAATAATTCCATTGTGAAGTGTATTATAATGGATCTCCTAATCTAAATGCTCAACAATAGGCTAGGTACATTATAGTATGTGCATATGATTCAATAGCTTATAATTTTCTAAATTATAATAACATATTATGATTATACATATGTATGCAATTACAGTCACAACACGCTAAATGATAAGATAGAAAAATACTTCTTTTACAATGCTAGGTGATAAGAGCAGGAAACATATAATTCATAATCACAAAAATATAAATGATATGAATAGAAAAAAGACGGGAAAGAATTACAAGTGTTTTTCTTTTTCTTTTACTTTTCTGCTGTTCTGCATCAAACCTTCTTTCCTTCTTTTTCCCAGTCCCAACCTCGTTGCTAAGCCTTAACAACAAGTGAGGTGACTGAGAGAAAGGTTAGCCTCATTCCAAGGGTCCAAATTAGAAGAGAACACACAATGCTTGCTGGTTTTCACCAGCTTTTATTAAATTTAAAAAAAAAATTGTATTCATTATGCAAATTTCCTTATGACTTAAGTCAATTAGCATTTTCTCATCAAAAACATCCTAAATTGATACATTTATAGATACAGAAACCTCACATTTCAGATTTCCAGCATAGTTCTTTTTCCAAGAAATTTAATTTTAGGGAAGGCAATTCATTAAGTGTCAAATTAAATATGATTTATTTTATTTTTTTCTAAGACAGTCTATTGAAACCTGACATTAAGAATGTATCTGTACACCTGAAAATTATATAATTGTATTAATCAATGTTACTCCCAATAAACTTAATTAAAAATTAAAAAAAGAAGAAATGAACTATACCAAAGTTAATCACACTAAGACTATGTCAAACTAATATTTTAATATAGAACTAAAAAATGGATCTAGGGAGATTCTGGCATGTAATAAAATTAATCCAATAATATATCTATTTTATTTAAAAAGAATGTATCTGCAGTATTTGCCACATTTTTGTTATAGATCTCAAAATAAATTTAACATCCAAATATTCACTTTACTGCATGTCAGAGCCTCTAATTACTAAAGGAATTTGTTTGGTAGCACTAATAAAAAAATAAACATTAAAACATATATTCTACTATAAATTAACATACAGCAATAAAGCAACATTTAGGCTAGTTAACTTTCAACTGTATAATAAAAATTTCCTCTATTATTAAACATTTATTTTTATTTTCATTTTATTCCCGTCTTCCCACCCTCCCCCTCTTTGCAACCTCCAGTTTGTTCTCTATTTCTATGGGTGTTTTTTAGTTTAGTTTTGTTTATTTATTTGTTATGTTTGTTTAGATTCCACATATAAGGGAAATCATATGGTATTTGCCTTTCTCCAACTTATTTCCCTTAGCATAATACCCTGTAGGTTCATCCATGTTGTCACAAATAGCAAGATTTCATTTTTTTTTCATTGCTGAGTAATATTCCAGTGTGTGTGTGTGTGTGTGTGTGTGTGTGTGTGTGTGTACACACGCACACATCATCTCTCATCTTTATCCATTCATCTATTGATGGGCATCTAGGTTGCTTCCATATCTTGGCTATTACTAGTAATGCTTCAATGAACATAGAAGTGTACATATCTTTTTGAATTAGTGTTTCTATTTTCTTCTGATAAATACCTAGAAGTGGAATTACTGTCTATTTTTAATGATTTGAGGAATCTCCATACTGTTTTCCATAGTGGCTGCACTAATTTACAACCCTACCAAGAATGTAGGAAGGTTCTCTTGCAGTAAAGTGACATGCAGTAAAGTGAATATTTGGATGTTAAATTTATTTTGAGATCTATAACAAAAATGTGGCAAATACTGCAGATACATTCTTTTCTTTTTAAATAAAATAGATATATTTTTGGATTAATCATATTATATGCCAGAATCTCCCCAGATCCACATCTTCACAAACATTTGTTTGTTGATTTATTGATAGTGGCCATTTTGGCTGTTATGAGGTGATATCTCATTGTGGTTTTGATTTGCATTTCTCTAGTGATTAATGACATTGAACATCTTTTCATGTCTGTTGGACATATATATGTCTTCCTTAGAGAAATGTCTATTCGAGTCCTCTGCCCATTTTTTTTTAATTGGATTATGTGTGGGAGTTTTGGTGTTAGTTGTATGAATTTCTTATATATTTTGGATATTAACCCTTTATTGAATGTATCATTTGCAAATGTCTTCTCCCATTCAGTAGATATTTTTTAAAATTTTGCTGATGGTTTCCTTCACTGTGCAAAAACTTTTTAGTTTGATATAGTCCCATTTGTTTATTTTTTGTTTTGTTGCATTTTCTCTAGGAGACACATCTAGAGAAATTTTGCTAAGAATGATGTCGAGAATTACAAGTTTTAATAGCAGTTTAATAAAGTAAAATCATATTTTTCTCCATTTCTTTTTCTGACTACCAAATGTTATTTTCATAATGAAAACCTTAATTACCTTTATTAAAACAAGAGTATTTCTGGCTACAGCAGCCTGCATGGGACATTGAAGTCAGTTTATCAAAACACACTCTGAAACTTGGTGGCAACTCCTGAGTTCTTTCTTCCTTCCACAAGGTGTCTTTCTCAGCTTATATTCACATGCTTGCCCCTCCATTCCAGGCATCAACATCCCCCCACCAGGTCGTTATCTCCATGCCCCAGTTATTGAAGTCTATGTAAATCTCTAGCTAGGTCAGGTTCTTTCAAGAACAAGTGAGCAGTTCTGAAAATATAAACGTCTGTCTATTCATGAGCAAGCTATTTGCACCCGTGAACCTAGGCCCAGGGTGATAGATTTTACCTGGCTGCCTCTGCTTACGTCACTTTTAATTCAAGCCTCTGAACAGCTTTTGAAGTGAGGTAAACTTGGCTTTTATTCTTAGCTCTGCACATCTAAGCTGTTGGTTCTCTCATTCATAACCTCTCTGAACCTCAGCTTCTTCAAAGGTAAACTGGGAAATAAGGCTGATGCCATGTTAGATTAAACTGCATTCTTCTCTCTCCATTCCTGTTCTATATAGACCCTACCTGCCCTGTTCTTTACTATCTCCTCCTTTTGATTGTCTAATTATTGGACTTCTTCACATTTTTTAAGTTAGCTGGCCCTTACTGGCCAATAGTTCTGTACAGCTATTTGTAGTAATCCATAAGGATTGGTTCACACAAACAAAAGCTATAATTTTCCTACTCTGAATAATCACTCTGGCTTTCTGTTCAGAGAATTGGCCTTATTATTGGTCAAAAGAGAAATCTGTGACCTATATAAGCAAAAGATTAAAAAAAAAATTTGTTATTGCTCCAAGCCCTCTGATGTTTTTGGAATTTTTATCTCCATGTATCCTAGTTCCCCCATAAAAGAAACCAATGTGATAAATAAAAGAGCCAGTCTCAGACATTCTTAGGGGTCTAAAGTTTGGCTGTTTCCCATTTCATTCTCTTCTGTCTGCTTGTGAGCATCTAAGAGCAACTTTAACACATGCTTGGACCAACCAATAAATATATGGCTCTTTATAGCTGCATAAGTTATGAAATTATCCTAAACAAAGAAACTCCTGGTGTCTCAAGGGTCAGAGTGTAAATTTCCAAAGACCATTTTTCCGTTAGAGCATTGGATTATGAATTCTCTTTCTTGGCTGCATTTTAGGCACTAACTGTCAGAACTCTTACAATTGGACAGCATTTGCAGGAAGAAAGCTGTATAAGATCCAATGTAAGGGCATGAGTTGGAAAGACATACACAGTATTCTTTCAGTGTCAAGTCTGCTTTTGGTTAAAAGTAAACTTTCTTTTATTATTGGGAATCTTATTTTAGCTTTAAGCCATTGATAGATGGCACTGACTCTCATTAGAATCATCTGGAGAGCTTTCACAAAAATACCCATTATTGGGTCCCATCCTTGACTAATTAAACTAGATTTCCATTGA